ACAAAAGTCAGCCATTAAATAAACACAGATTTGGGGAGCTTCAGATATATCTCAGTTGCTTAAGTACCTGCCTGGCAAGCACAAGATCCCAAGTTCAATCCCTAGTATTGAAAAAAAAAAAAGTAGCTTAGAAATAATCACAGATTGGGCCAGCCAGATAGCTCAGTGGACTAAAGCAGATGGGGTTTGATCTCCTGCACGCTGTGCCGGTCCCACCCCAGGGGCGTGCTGAGACAGCCATTGAGACTGGGTGTGATGGTGTGTGCCTGTAACCCTAGCACTTGGGAGGCTGAAAACAGGAGGATCACTATGAGTCAGATCTGTGTAGTGAGACCGTGTGGGCCCTGTACTAAATACAAAAAGAAAAAGAAAGAAAGAAAGAAAGAATCACAGAGTTCTTAAGTCAGCTGCTTCTCTGATAATAAAGCTGAGGGGACCAGGTACTTTTCATTCATGGATACTGCCGCTGCTCTGATGAGTCTCAACAAAGTGGAATTTGGGATATCCCAACCCTTGAAGGGGACTGGTATGCTTCACTGATTATCCACTGTGGACGATCCACTGTCCTTTTGGAATTTGTCCAAGAGGACAAATTCACATATGTCCCCTGTGTGACAGCAGTCACATAGGGAGAGGACTAGCTATGAGAAACCTGGTGCGCCTGTGAATATCTAAATGCAAAGGGGAGACTCCTGCATTTACTGTCTTCTTACTTGGCTGTGCTCTTTACATGCTACCCCTTAACCTTGTGCAGAAGATTGCTATAACAAATTACCACAAACTCAGGGGCCTAAAACAACAGAAGCTTATTTTCTCGAAGTTCTGGAAGCCAAAAGTTCAAACTCAGTGTTACGGGGCTGAAATCAAGGTGTCCATAGGGTGATGTTCCCTCCAAAGGTGCCAGGAGAGAATCTGTTTTCCCTCTTCCTGCTTCCTGTGGCTGCCAGCACTCCTTGATTTGTGGCCGCATCAACAGTCTCTGCCTCTGTGGCCACCTTGCCTCGTCCTCTTGTTTGTGCCTCTTCCATTCTGTCTGCATCAAAATCTCCCTCTGTTTCCCTCTCATAAAGATGTATAACTGCACTTAGGACTTACCCTAAGAATTCAGGGTAATCTGTGCTTCTTAAGAGCCTAACCTTAATCACCTCTGCAAGACCCATATTCCTAATAAGGCATCAATTACAGGTTCCAGGGTTTAGGACCCTTTGGGGGACATTAGCCAACCTCCTACAGCACAGAGCTGTCCTGTACTGAAGGCTTTATTATCTTCCTTTAGGATAGATTAGGATCAGTTTCAGGGAGGTAAATTACCCAAGGCCATGTACGTAGTAAGCAATAGTATCACATTTTGAACTTGGGACTGACTTCAAAATTCATGCATGTTCTTTGTGTCCTGCTATCTCTCTACTAAGTGTTAAGTAGGCAGGTGATACTTGTGGTGGCCATAAGTGGTATTCCAACAAGAAGGCTATTGGTAGCTGGGTATAGTGGTGCATGCTTGTAATCCCAGCACTCAGGAGACTGAGGCAGGAGGATCATGAGAGATTGAGGCCAGCCTAGGCTACATAGTGAACTCAAGGCCAGCCTGCACTACTTAGTGAGATCCATTCTCAAAAAAAAAAAAAAAAAAAAAAGAGAAAGAAAGCCATTGGTGGCAGGCAGCACTCATTCATGAAAGACAGCAGATAGGTGAGCCTGAAGAAGGGTGGTCTCTGTTCCACTTCGGTCGTTGTCTCCAATCCCTTGCCATCATGGAAGTTCTTCCTGGGTCTCACCTAAGCTCCACGGGGATGTGTAGGAGCTCTGCTTCTTCTCAGAGCTCCAGGATACTCCTCTCCATAACCCTACTTTCCTGATGAGTTTTTCTTTCTTCCCAGGGTACGGCTTGCTCTTCCTGTCATTAGTTATCACTCCTGTCATCCGGGCCAAGCTCTCCAAGTTGGTGGGCCAATCCGAGCAGGGTGAGTGTCAGAATCAGCTTTCAATGGGTTCCTCCTGCCCAGCTTTGTTTGGGCAGATGGGCAGCCATGACTGGGAGACGCCCTCCCTTCCTCCCTGCCTCCCTCTCCTCCTTCCTGGAAGGAGAACATGGCTAAGACCAGTGCACATCTGTTAAACTTCCCAGGGCTGACAGAGGACTGCACTGCCTCAGAGTTTAAAACCACTGAGCTGGGATTTGCAGTTAGCTGAGCAGGATTTTGTTCTTTCTGGATATCCACAGTGGAGCCTTTACTGTCTCCAGGCCTCAGCTTTTCTATTTGTTAAGGGAGTGTGACACCAGAGCTTCCTGCTTCAGGGTCAGAGTGTAGTCTGGGGGAAAGGGAGAGC